TTTTTTTTTTTTTTTTTTTTTCTAGCAGATTTTTTGACTGAGTTGTTGCAGAATGTCGTTTTTGCTCAGAATCGATTAGAGGAGGAATTGGCCTTTCATCGACAGGAGGGCGATCTGTTCTGTGCTACTTGAGCTCGCATTAAATGTATCGATCCGCAATTACGGCCGGATGTGGGTATGCCCTGAGCGGTACAGATTTTTTGCTCTCTCCTGCTCGATGTTTTGTCAAACGGAATCTTCTTCAGTGTTGTTGCTTGTTGCGGATGTCATCGGCTTCCTATGTGACACAGCTGCACAGTGCTTGAGAGAATGAAAAGGTCTAAGCTTGCACAAATGCAGACCCCGCACAGATTTGTTGTTGCGTAGATGCATAGATGCATAGATGTGTAGATGTGTGGTGTAATATACTAATATTGTAATGTGGTATACCGGGTACTATACCCTTCACGACACGGGCCTTTCCGTGCTTGACCCACCGAAGAGTTTTCCGTAGGAACAGTGCTTCCTTGGCACTAGATTAAGAAACAGTTATGGCCGTTGTGATGCGGAAGCTGTGAACGAAAGTTGGCTAAGGTTCAGGCGCCAAAGGATCCAGTACCGAAGGGTCAATCGAGTACAGAAGGGCGGAGTCCCGAAGGGTCAAGTATCAAGGAGTCGAGTGCCGAAGGGTTCAAGTACCGGAGGGTCAAGTACCACTGGGTAAGGGTCAGGTCTCACTGGACTTAAATAGCACTTTGCGTGCATGAACGTGTTATACTGGCGTGTACATTTTCTGGATCGGATTGAGGTCATACCGGTCTCGTGCAACTGCAGGCAACGGGGTTGTGAAATTCCACCAGCTGAAACTGACTACCATTAACCCACAATCTTCCGCGTTTTTCCGACAATAGGACTCGTAGTGATGAAGATCTCTCGCACAGGAGGGAGAGAGAGAGAGAGAGAGAGAGAGAGAGAGAGAGAGAGAGAGAGAGAGAGAGAGAGACCTTTGAGGGAGAGAGAGAGAGAGAGAGAGA